GTTCGGAGGTGGAAGAGTTAGTGAATGTCTCTGTCAAGGTTTCTGAACAGTGCTGCTGGTTGCTCACAAGGAGTAAGTCGGCGCTCGCCAAAGAGCGCGTGGAGCAACTAACTCACATGAGATAGACTCATTGACGAGAAACATGGTGAATCGGCTGCCTGGCATTTGCGTTGCCGGCCTCACTATGGAGTAGAATTCTACTTCAACTACCTTGGAGTTGTAGCCGGCCATCCCGTCTCACAGGGGGCATGAAATGGCAAGTGTGCGGCAAGCATGGAGTGTACGTGCAGCCGCCAGCACCTTCATCTGTGCGGCGCGGAGCACGCGCCGAGCGCTTGGCCGTCACATGCTCTTGCTCGTCGTGCAGTGTCACTGCCGCATCAGCATGAGGCAGTGACACTGCACGACAAGGGCTGGACCAGGAAGCGAACTGCTTGCTTGCGTGACATCGATTTGATCGTATCCCACCACACTTGAAAACAAAATTCACATCAGGTTCGGGGTGTGCCTTCCATCAAAGTATCAAAGCAGCTCCCGCCAACAACGATCTGAGGAACCTCATAGCGGTCTATCCATGGACTTTTCAGAAAGCTATAGATGCTCGTTGCCTCCAGTCTTTTCAACAGACGGTGTATATGTTGCAGCTGCAGTGGAGTACCGCCTGGTGATCAGAGATGTCGAAACGCTCAAAGTAGTGCAAATTTACTCATGTGTGGACAAGATCCACCGGATAGACTGGTCTGCGGGCTCACGCCATGTGCTGTGCGGGCTGTATGACCGCGCGACAGTGCAAGTGTGGTCCGTCGACGACCCCGATTTTGCGTGCAAGATTGATGAGGGGCCCGCTGGCGTGGCGCACTGCCGCTGGTGAGCCCTGGGGTTGATGATATACATGCAAGCAATGGTATCGGCACACCACCCTCCCATTGGACTCGGCGGGTTGACTGCAGCCAGGCCAAGGGCGCCATACTCGTGAGCGTGCGCCCGGCACAGTGGCGGCCGGCCCCCAAACGAACAGCTGCCCCCCGCTCGCGGCGCAGGACGCCCGACGGCCTGTCAGTCTTGGTGGTCGCCGACTTCTCCGTGCGCATGGCGGTGTGGGGACTCGTCGACCACCGCTGCACCTACCTGCCCGGCCCAAAGCACGCCGCCAAGGGGCTCGCGTTCGACCCAACTGGCAGCAGCATGGCGGTGCTAGAGGTGCGTGCGTGGGCCCGCTCAAACCTTCCCAATGACTGGCCGCCGATAGAACCATCTCAAAGCCAAGCAGCACAGCCAAGGATGCTGCAAGTTTGTGAGGTCCACTCATGTCTGTCATCGTGACCCGCATTCTTTGGCTCGACACGCTGCGGTTGCCGCTGTGGGAGGTAATCCTGCACGCACGCCTCTGCCTTGCCGCAGCACCGACAAGCGTGCGCCGCCCGGCCGCAACCCTGCACCGGCGCTCGTCCTCCCACATCCGTACCCATCCCATTCGCAGCGCAAGGAATGCAAGGACTGGGTTGCCGTGTACAGCTGCAGCCCGGGGGACGGGTGGACGCTCAGGAGCAGGTAGCTGCGCCCACTGTCAGCTGTGGGCGCTGGGCTTGCACTCGCTGGCTTTGATGCAAGTGCTGGTTTGAGCACCTGAGCCGCGACCTCCTCCCCCTATGACCCGCAGCTCGAACAACGTTTCGCCTTACAGCGCGCCTGCCAGCCTGGCACCCCAGCAATGGCAAGCCGGGTGCGCGCGTGAGCGTGCGGCGCGCACGACTCTCTGACCATCGCCCCTAGGTTTGCGGTGGACACGCTCGACGCCGCCGACTTGGCGTGGAGCCCGGACGGCGCAAAGCTCGCGGTGTGGGATAGCCCGCTCGCATACAAGGTGGGGGGCCTGGTGGAGGCGGGTCGATGGGGTCGGCGCAGCACAGCGCGGATCCGGTGGTGTGGCTGCTGCCATGCCAGGCTGTTGTCCTGCACTTTGCTCTCGGGGCAATGGAATGGGATGGCTAGAAGTGCATGGCGCGGTTTGTTCAGGGCTCATCAACATGCTGCAATGGGCATATGGTGGGGGCCGTGCTTGGCCTTGCTGATGCAGGTGGTGGTGCACGCGGCAGAGGACGGGCAGCTGCTGGGCAGCTACAGCGCGTACGATGACGCCCTCGGAATCAAGTCTGCCGCCTGGGGGCCCGGCGGCGATGCGCTGGCAGTGGGAAGTTACGACCAGGCGAGTCATGGGCCGATCATCATCCATAATTGCTCTTGACAAGTTTCAGGGAGGCAGGCCCTGTGTGGAGCTGCCGCGTGGTCTCAGCAGTGACGAGATGGACGCTTATAAACAAACAGGGCACGCTCTTTGTTGCCAGTGGCACTGTGGCCAGCCAGACCGCGAGCACGTATTGCATGCTGTTTTTGGAAGCTGGAAACTCACAGGCGGCGACGCTGCAGCACCCACCATTCACTGGTATGCTCGGGGGTCCGCAGATTCACCCGGCCGCCGAACGCCCCGCAGGTGGCGCGCGTGCTGAACCCTGTGACGTGGCGGCCGCTGCTGGAGTGCCACCACGGCAGCCCAGTGGACGCCCCCAGGGGGGTGGCCGTGTACCAAGAGTTGGAGGAGGCGCGCGGCGTGCTGGCGCCGGTGCAGGTGGGTTCGCGTGGCGTGCGCGTACGTGCGTGCCTGTGTGCCTGTTGTGTGTCATCCCTACGCCAGCCTATGCACATGCTGGTGTGTGGGTTGATCTTTGCTAGATATGACTGCAGGATGCAACATCAGAGGAGACGGTGGGCTGCCACAAGTACAGCCATTCAGGCGTGTGGGCGGATGCAGGGGCGCTCGCCACGCACGCAGCGAAGGCTGCCCCGTCTCTCAATGTCAGTGCGGAGCTGGCTGGGCGACGCAGGGCTGCTTCGCATTCGCCATTCTTCTGCCGCAGGCGCTCCAAGGCGGCAGCGGCGGAGCTGGGGGCGCGTCCCCAGCGAGGCGGGAGGCGCGGGCCAGGTGGGGGAGCGGGCCCGGCGCCCGCAGCGGGACGCCTCACGTGCCTGTAGTGCGTAACGCCAGAATCAGGCTGCCGTTGGTCTCTGCGCTGGGACCTCTCCAGTAAATGCCGATGCCTCATACCATCTGGATTTGATGTGCCCTCCTCTGCACCAAAGGTACGCAGTCTGCCCGCTCCCTTTCGAAATCACGAGCGTGGCGCCTCCAAAAGACAAACCAAACCCAAAACTCGGCGTCGGTGAGCCGCCGGGCCCGCACGACGCCGTGCCACGCCGCACGTGTGAACCTGTCTGCGTGGCGCCGAGTGGGACATCTGTCGTGGCAAACCCTGGAGGGCGGGCTGATCCTCTGAGACAGCGGCTCGCTTGAGCGCCTCCTGCACGTTGCGGGCCGCCCCGTCCCCGCGGCCCGCAGGCACGCTGACGTGGAGCCCCGACGGGCAGCTGCTCGCGACGGTCAACGAAAACATGCCGCACGCGATCTGGATCTGGGACCTGGGGTCCGCTGAGCTGGCGGCGGTGCTGTGCCAGGTCGGCCCTGTGCGTGCGCTGGCGTGGTCGCCGGCCGGCCGCAGCCTGGCGGCCGTGGCGGGCGGGGGGCGGCTATACCTGTGGTCGCCGGCGGGCGCGAGCGTCGTGCACGTGCCGCTGGGAGGTTTCCAGGTGCGCCTTTGCGGGGTCGGGGCGCGCAGGGCCGCCGAGGTGTGGCTCAAAAGAAGGCAGGCTGCCCGGGGACATGTATGCGCTCACGGCCGGCTGCGTCGGGGCCGACGCGCCTGCATGCGTGCGTGCATGCGGGCATTACTTGGGGGATCCGGTCTCGCGGCGCCGCGTGATGCAACAGAGCGCCAGCCCCATCTGTCCAGGTTCACTCCGCTTGTCCCGCTTGCACCCCACCAGGCGACGGGCGTCAGCTGGGCGCAGGGCGGGGAGGCGCTCGCGCTGCATGGCAGAGAGAGCTTCTGCTGCGGCTACGTCGGGACCTAGCGGGGTAACACCTTGCTTCCGCCTGTTTGGAAGGATCAGGAATGGAGGATGCTGGTGCAGCTGAATGCAGTCAAAGGCAGCCACACCCTGCAGAATTACCGTAACATCGCCTGCAGGGGACGGACGAAGAGCAAATGTGGCTCAACATCCATATATGAAGTCCACGCAGGCACTAGCTGCTGGCGACAGCTGCTTGAGCTTGGGCATCAAGCAGCACAACAGCACCATAGCAAACCCACAAGTGTCTGGGTGACACCCGTAAGGGACTCATCAGGACGGTGATGGGAGGGGCGCGTTGGTCTACTGATTGATTGAGTATATCCTTTACTGCGGATCCTTCCTCGCTGCGCGCGCAGAACGCGGCGTTCGAACGAAATCGCCGCAACACCTGCGTTTTACGGATAAATTTGAGTGACTGACAAGCCAACGTCATCAGGAAAAATGCGGCGTTTGCCGTCGCAGGGCGCGCTTCTGCGCGTTGCATGGCTCCGCACCACGTGCGAGCGAGCTGCGCAGCAGCAGCTGCAGCAGCATCAGCAGCCCGCATGGCGCGCTGCGCTCCACTCTTATGCTGGCGCGCGCTGGGCGGCGCAGTATGCTGCGCGCTCAAGCGCAGGGCCCAGCACCAGCAGCAGCTGCGGCGGCGACGCCGCCCGCGTTGCGCTGTGGGCGCCGCTGCGGCGATGGCTGGCGACAGAGTCTGCGGCGGCGGCTCACGCGCGCAAGCAAGGCATCAAGCCAGGGGGGAGGGACATTGACTACCAGTCGCCGGCGAGACGCAGGTGTGGGGCGCCAGGGTGCCCGCGGTTGGTGCATGGGGCCTCAATAGGGTGGTTGGTCACGCTTCACTTCTTGCCTCCGACGGCATGTCGCGCGGCGCCCCGCGCTGGGGCGCAGCAAGTGGCTCAAGCAGCGTGCCGCCGCGAGCGGGCTGCAAGCGCCAGCAGCGGGCTGTGCACGCCTCGCAGCAGCCGCCTTGGTCCTGTCGCGGCGCGCTCCACACACGTACCCATGTGTACCGAAACATGCAATTGCAGGTTTGCTTTGGTGATGGGCCTGGCGCTGCCAGCCAGCATCGTGGCAGTGCTGGCCTGGGGATTCCTATACCCAGACGATGAGCTGGATGCCAGATCACCCCACCAGGTGCGTGCGCCGC